TGTCCCTAATTTATTCAAATTTCATTTCTATTCACAATTAATGAGTGAGTTTTGGCACAAATTACCTATATGCCCAGACAGCGGCAAAATTCCAAAGAGAACCGAAAGATAATTATACAAAGTATTGTTAAGAGAATTGCTTAGACTAAAACGTAAAATTTGGAACAAAGAGGAATTTTCTTATTACAAGAAATGCTGTGTGTGATGCCATTCAGTGTGGAATAGTAAAGATCAGGAGAATCCTGAACTATAGTGCTGCCCACAAGTCTCTGCGTTAGAGTTATCAGTCCTGGGTCAGAAGGCGCAGGTGAAAGAAGGCACTGTTAACTGGTATCTGCCATTCTCTGCACTGAAGTAAACTTCCACACAGGAGGCACAAGCTCTGCATTTGCCCTCTCTCTAAGTACAATAGAGGCAGAGCACAAGACCATTCCCGAGAGCAAACCAAAATCCTGCTGCATGTAGCTGGTACTGTGTAACATCAGTGGCTGTACGGAGAACAGCTCAGCAGCATCACTTCAGAAGACAAAAGCTCTCAACTCTCCCAAGAAAAAGAAAAAGTGGTACAGGAAGAGAGCTCAGAGATATGCAGCTCTCAGGCACGCCAACCCAAATAGAATTCTCAATTCCAAACTGTCCTGAAAGTTAAGATAAAGCTCTATTAAATTAATGAAAGCATTGTATTCAAGAAGCACTCACTTCTTAAAGCTCCTCATCTTTAATGAAATACCATTGAGTGACTTGTATAGGGAAACGTACAGTAGTTTCAAATACAGCAAGGTCCCACAAGTGATGAGTTAATACATCCTTGATGGCACTGAAGGAGGAATGTTAGCCAAAGCAGTGGAAAATCTCCCTATGTCAAATACTGACTCAGGGTCTTTCACGTTCAATTAACTCTCATGTGAAGAGTAGCATTACTGAGTGCTGTGTTGCTGTTGTGCTGTGTTCAATATTTTAGTGTGGCTTGTGCCAGCTGCCTTCTGATCCTGAGGCAGGATTGCTGCCAAACTGACACTTTAATCAACAACTCTGCAGGTTACAGTAATCACTTTACATTCAGAACAGGAAACTGTTTTGTAACGAGAACCCCGCAAAAACACAATGAAATTCAAATTCTGTACACTTTCAAGTGCTTCAAAAATCTTAAAAGCAACTTCGAGTAAAAGAGACCACAGAGTGCAGCCCAGCTCCAGAATATGTCGAGTGTCTCTTACCAGAAGGAAGAGTCTTCACTTCAGAAAGCCTAGCACAAGAATTCTCATTTGATAATGTTTGTGAGATATTAGTGTGCAGCTACAAAAGTATTGTTTCCCTACGGTCTACAGGAGCATCCTAGGTATAAGATCAATAGCCAAAACCAACACTGGTTCTTAGGGTCAGAAGACAGAGGCCTAAGTCTAGTTACTTAGGTAGCCATGATATGCAAGGGTGATCACAAGGTTTCAGTGTAACGTTGATAAATTCAGAAACTAATATGACTGAGGTAAGGGCATTTACTTGTGCTAATTCACTGTTGGATCAGAGGACATTCCTGTAATGATGAAAAATAATTAAGGCAGAACAATCTTATGGCTTCTCTTTTAAAAAGCACTACAACCAAGTTCTACAAGGTACACAAAACTTTCAGTTATGTTTCAGTGCTTTAGGAATATTGACCCAACATAGAAAATCCTTGGCAAATTTGTTGGATAATTCATTCTAGGTTAAATTGTAAATGTTAATGGAACAAACAGATTACCAAAATCTAGTTACCCAGAAATTCACAGGAACATTCATATAAAATGTACAACTGCAATTTTTTTTTTGAGATGATAGCCATAATGTTAGTTTTCTGCTACAGACTTCTCTTAACCTGAAGACTTCAAATATAAACATACTAGCTCCATAAATTCTGTACAATTTTATGTGATAAACGCCCATTTATTTAAGAATATTGCTTTGCATGACTGAGAACTAAATCCAAGTTCTAAAAGTTTAACTTCTTAATTTTAGTATTGAAATTTAAAAATACTCATGCTGTAATACTTGATGTTTGGAACTAACAATTGTTACAGGAGGTTAAAGCATACAACTTTTTTCAAGTTCTCAGACCAGTTAACAGAGTCCAGACAACAGACAGGATCTTTGTCAAGTGATTCACCAGAGAGAGTACTGCTTTCTGATCAATTCACGTAAGTGTTTCAAACATGTTTTCATTTTTAACCTCTGCAAGTATATGGGCCACCAAATTGGAGATCATAAGCTCCTCCACTGCCAACTTTGCCATCTCTCAATTCTGACAAGACAATATACCTAGTAATAAATATTGACGCCATTACTTCCCTCTGTGCATCTATTCCAAGATACTCATCAAAACAAAAAAAACACACTGTATAGCAGGGGCACAGCTACAGTCAGCAGACAACTGTATACAGTGTGCTACTGAAATAGAGCAAGTATTAAGTAGGTTCATTTTGCTATATACGTCTTCAACATGAAGCCCTGGTGAACAAGGAAAATGAAATGCACAGTGGGAAGCAATTCGCTAAGTAGCTCAGAGGCCAGCAACACATTTCTTAACAACTCTTCATTACTCCACTGATGTTGCAGCCATCGGCATTTTAATACTTCCTCTTGCAGATGCCGCCAACTCTTCAATTTCAGCATTTAGCCTGCGGATTACCCACTCCATTGCTTCTCGGCCCTGCACAGAAAAACAGACATGGAGTGCGACAGCAGTGGCAAAAACAGAGCAAGTCATACAATAAATACATTTAAAAGTGCATGGCGAGGAAGGGACAATTGTAAACCAATGCAGTAACACTGTTTGGAGACTGTTGAAAGCAATTCAGCCCATTAAATCAAACCATAGAACCCAAAAGTAGCATCACAACTATTTCTAATTCTTGTCAGCAACTTTCGGGCAAGCATGATTGGTGCTGCAATTGCCCTTGATGCCCACAAGGCAGAAAGTGGAAAGGTGGCAGGTTGACAGGAAGAAAGTCAGTACGCCTAAAATGCTCAACCAAGCAAGCTCACATCCATTGAATAACCAGATCAGAGGAGAGACAGACAAGGGACCACCTGCACGCTTAGAACTATATTTAAAAGCATATGAAGAAATGGTTGGGAGGGTGGATGAGGGGCTAGGACAAGCACACAGATAGATCAGTAATTGAGTTATTGAAAAAGTCACTGTGGCAGATACAAGTTTTGATGATCACAAAAATAAAACATGCACTCAATTCATAAAAGTTGCAGATGATTATTCAAAACAGAAGTATCAAAACATTGCATAATTGTGATCATTTCAGCATTCACAACAATAATACTTTGCAAAATGCAGGATCTGCTTAATTTTCAGACGTCACATAGCAAAATACACTAGACAGGTAATTTAAAAATTCTCTTTTAGGTTGTGAAAAACTTACAATTCTATTCTCCCAACCACAATACTCACTTTATTTGCATTAGCAGAGATGCTGTTTGCCATTATTCCTTCCATATAGCTGCTGAGACTGACCCCCTTCACACTGATAATAGCTTCTTGGGTAAGGATTGTTCTGAAACAACAAAACAGAATCATACCCGAGATCCTTACAAAAGAACAGCAGCAAAATAATTAATATACAATTTCCAAGTTCACCTTTTACTCAATTCTACTATAAAGATATAATGCAGAAATCAACCCGTCTTTCCACTTAAGGCAAGTCAACAAGTCATGTGAATCAGCACTGGGAAACATCTTTAACTGAACATAAAAAAAAAATCAAACAAAGCAGGGAGGCAGAGAAACACAAAAAAACCAAGGACTGAATGCATCTTACAAACCAATGCATTGTCTGGAGTTTGTCACTTGTTTCATTCAGCCTCATTGCTTAGTTATATTATCAAACAGCTAAGTATTGAAAATGACAGAAAAGGAGTGGCACCAGATTGGCAGCTGGAATGCCAGTGGTTGACATAACAAATTTCTGCTCTTAACCAAGTTAATGTAAAGTTGCTGATTCTCAACTTGGTATCTGCAAAGCAGACAATGTTAGTCATCCAAAAGGAAAACTTGGAAGTTATCCATGCAACAAGACCAAGAAGAAATAGAAAGATTTCCTTTCCAAAATGGATTAGCAATACAGCCTCATCACATTGCTATTATACATGTATGCAAGGGCTTTGAGTAGAATCATTGCACTTGAACAACACATGTACCTACTTTTCTGGGTCCTGTGGATGGGGTTTATACTCCAATCGTTCATCCACCGATACTAGATTTGTTAATGTTATCTGTAACATACCATAATGAAGATACAGAGTTTAGATATTATTCAGAACACTGAGCTCTAGAATGAAGATGCTCAGAATTATACACCATTAATAACTGAAAACATGCCCACCAATAAAATGCCAAAGTAGACAACGGTGCCTAGTTTCATTTTGGAATTTGAGTTCACGTCAAACCCAGAATAATGGTCTGACTGAAGGCTATGAAGTGACATCAGCTTGGATAATCTTACTGGTATAAAACATAAGGCAAAACTGTACTCAATCTTGGAGAGACCACATATTGGATGTTTCAGTGAATGGAAACTCATCACTGGTACAGTAGGGTTTGATGTTTTGCAGCACAGTGTTGCAGAACATTTAACTTCACATTATCACACTATTACATACTGCTATGGAGATAATAATGCTGAATTACACTAACTTTACAACAGTGACAGGCTACTTGATATAGCAGGCCCATGACTGTTATGCTATATATGAATCTCCCACTTATTTCCTTCATTTAACTATACCATCATGTTCTTCTGAAACAAAAACAGAAGTTGTGGAAACACTCAACAGGTCTGGCAACATCTATGAAGAACGAAATCAGAGTTAACATTTTGGGTCAGTGATCCCTCCTCAGAACTGAGCTTTTCCAGCAACTTCTGTTTTGTTTCTTATATACAACATCTACAGTTCTTTCTGTTTTCATCATGTTCTTCTGTTCCTTTTCCCTTCCTTGTATTAATGCTATTTATTTCAACCACTCCACATAGTCATGAATTCTACTCTGCCCAGCTCTCTGGGTAAAGAAATCCTCTTGGATTCATTAGTGACCGCTCATATTTACGACTCCTAGTTTTGAAATCCATCAGTAGTGGAAACATCTTCCTTACAATTACCCTATCAATTCTTTTCATTGTCATAAAGACCAACTACCAGGTCACCCACAACTATCTCTTATCTGGAGGGGAGTCCTAGCCTTTTCAGCCATTGCAAAGTTATAACCTCTCAGTTCCAATATCATTGCACATCCTTCTGCAGCACCTCTATATTCTTTTTGTAAAGTGGAAACTGGATCTATACACAGTGATCCATCCAAGATTCTCCACAAACATGGCGCAACTTAACTGATTTTTAATTCTGTTACTCTACAAATGCATTTTAACACGTGTTTCTACTTTAAATGATTTGAGAGACTGAACAAGGTCTCTATGCCTTAGAATTGGAATTGATCACTGCAACAAGTACAAATATGCAGACAGAGGGAAGGATTGTGTTATTTTGATTCTTTTTGATGCAGTTCTATCATATGATTTTGGAAAGCAAACGAGAAATTTTCACTTGTGCACTGTCACACCATCTCAGGTACCTGGAATTTTAAACTGGTGGAGAGCACCAGCATCAATCACCTCAATATTCACCTGGCCACGGATCTGGACATGAAGGTGCGTCACAGTAAATCTGGTAGTAAAATCTGAGTTTGTACCAGTAATATTGGCCACGAAAGTCACTTTGATTTCAAAACCCAACGAGTTTATTGATATTCTTCGAGTGAGGGAACCTTTTGCCCCTGGAGTAATTGTCCCCACTCGTAGGAGAGTCAGTAACCAGAAGAGTTTTAAGATAACTCCTCTCCAGTTCATTTTCTGATCAGGAATGCACTGCTTGAAAGGGTGATGGAAACAATTTCAAAAAAGAAACTGGATGAGTATATGTAGTGGAAAAATATTGCAGAGTTACAGGGAAAGAAGAGGGAGTGGGACCAACTACACAGCTTGTTCTGAAATGCAAGATCCATTGATTAGAATGTGTTAATGTTATAAAAAGAAAAAGGGAAATCCAGAGAAGTATATACAGTTACAAATCAATACATATTAAACGTGATTACCTGGGATGGTTTAAAGCTTGGTTAAAGAGATGTTTTTAACGGATTAAAGGTGGAAAGAAAGCCACGGGGTTGAGGGATGAAAATCTAGAGCTTTGGGTACAGACAGCTGAATTCACTGTTTCCACTGGTGGCAAAGAGAAGGGATTCAGGTGTTCAGAATCAGAGATAAGACTTTAAAATTGGAGACATTGAGATACTGGAAGGCAACGTAGGTCAGTAACTACATGGATGCTCATGCTGATGTGGGGACTCGATTCCGGACAGCAAAGTTCTGGATTTAAAAGTTTTTGAAGGAAGAGAACACTGCAAAGATCAGAAATAGAAACAGAAGGTGCTGGAGAAACTTAGCTGGTCTTAGAGAGAGAAACAGACTTAGTATTTTGAGTCCAATGACGCTACTTCAGAATGTGGATTTGAAATGCTAACTGTTTCTTGCTCCACAGATGATGCCAGACCTGCTGAATTTCTCCAGCCCTCTGTGGATGCAGGAAATCTGAAATATGAACAGTATTTTGCTTTTATTGGAATAATTGGGTTTGGAGGTTAAAAGAAGTCTTAGATGAGGATTTCGGCAGGAGATGAAACAAGGCAGTGGAAGTAGGCAAATATATGAAGTTAGAAGCTCAGCTCAAGATAAAAAAGGCTAAAAAGGTTTAACCTGGCAGGTGAGTGACAGGATTAGCAGCAAAGTAATAGAATTTATGCCAAACCCATCACCTTTTAGAATCATAGAATCCCCACAGTGTGGAAACAAGCCATTTGGCCCAACAAATCCACACAGATCTTCTGAAGACCATCCTACCCAGACCCATCCCCTAACTCTATCCTTGTATTTCCCATTCCTAATGCACCTAACCTACACTATGGACAATTTAGCATGGTCAATCCACCTAACTTACACATCTTTGGACTGTGGGAGGAAAAGTGGCCTGTTTCCACACTGTAGGGATTCTATGATTTCTATGAAACCAGAGCACCTGGCGGAAACCCACACAGACAGTCGCCCCAGGCTGGAATTGAACCTGGGTCCCTGGCTCTGTGAGGCAGCAGTGCTAACCACTGAGCCGTGTCACCAACATGTGAAAGGAGAAAATTAACGCTTCCTAAAACTGAGTGTAATACAAGAAATCTGGGGACACAGAAGCAGTAGAGAGGCAGAGTAGATTGATGAAGAGATAGAGGAGTAAATTACTGCAAATGCTGGAATCTGTTCTGAAAACAAAAATGCTGGAGATCACAGTTGGTCAGGCAGCTGTGATCTCCAGCATTTTTTGGTTTCAGATAGAGAGATAGGAGTTAGGTGTAGTCAAAACACATGTGGAACTTGGCCTGTCAGTCCTGCTTTTCAATTCTATTACTCGACAAGTTTACTCTAGTGTCTTGTTTATACTTTTATGGACTTGTCAACCTTTGTTTTTACTGTTAGGTGTACAGCAGTTAATTGCAGAGAATGGAGTTGATCACACTTTTGGCAGACTGAAACTAAAGGAGATTAATTTTATCTTGGAAAAAAGTGCAAGCTTTCCTAATCTCCAATGCTTGAGCACAATCAAGCTTATTTGACCAGAATGAAACTGCTTCCAGTGGATATGATTGCCAAGATTCAAAAATAGACTCAGTATTCAGTATTTAAGAATTTTGCTAAGAATTCAGCTCAGAGTAGTCCATAACAGTGAATAATTCCACAAGCATGCTTTAGATGACAAAGACACACTGGAAAAAAAAGAGTATTTACTGATTTGGCAAATCTTTAAAGTAACGCTCAGGTGCTTAATGTTCTCCAGATCTACTCTGTTTTGCATTAGAGAGTTGTAGATTTGATGCCCAGTCTGTGCCAAGTTGAAGTAATATCATCAGAATTGACTGCAGGATCTCTAGATTAGGAAAGGAGGGGGTGGAAGTGCCAGCTTAAGCACCCATTCACAAAGCAAAGACACTGTGGAAAATGTGCATTTGACAACAGTAAGCTAGGTTCAGCTTATGGTGCCCTTACGTCAAATAGCTGCCTCACACACGGACTAGGGCACTGGCAGGATGCTGCCCAATGTACAGCCAGGTTACAGCAACAGTTTCAGAGTAAACTATCCAAAGGTTACTGCAATAAGCTTCCTGTTATACCATAAATGCGATACACCTTGGAATAAATAAGCAAAAGTAGTAAATAATAGATCTACTTTTGGGTAAGATAATATAGTTGAAATGCCGTCATAGCAAGAATAAAGTATGAGCTACGGTGTACCTACCAAGATACTAATTAGTTTGTTTATGCCTGCAACTCATTGGTACAAACTGGTTGCCACAAGACATTTTTGGTGTGTGATTTTTCCCTGGCACTTAGGTCACTACGCTTGGAGTTTAATGGTAAATTTTATCTGTTAACCCTACAGAAGGAAATACAGATCCAGAAACACTGCATCTTGGACTTCAAATGCAGTCCATTACATAAAACAAAGTCTCATCATTTCAGAATATGGGACTGATTACTAGCCAAATCTGGAGTTTCTAAAATGATGGAGTATCTCTGGTCACATATTAAAACTCCAATTAATCCCCATGCATTAGGCAAGGGAAAACCATGTACGATTTCTAGTCACGTTACTTGACTGACATTTGCAGATCTCAGCTCCATGGTCCGTTTCACAGGATCCACAACAGAGTGTTCGTGTACGTATGTCCGTGTCCTCGATGCACCAATGAGCTGGAAAATTGAAAGAAAGATCAATGTTACCCTTCAGCAATAATTTAGCATTTGACAAGAATGACATTTGATGTTATGGTGGAACTAGCCACATGACTGCTCCCCAGCCACATAGTTTTTAAGTGAGACTCTCCAGATTCCCAATGCTGCATTCGTGGACACAGCCAAGAAGCCCTAGTATATTTCAGTCACTTGTCAAAGCAGAGATAACCATTTATTGTATTACAGTTCTTTCTCCCATTATCTGTCCACCTATGAAAGGTGACAGACATGGAGGAAACGGCCATTTCTAATGATGCGTTTTAACGTAATGCACCATTGCAAAGGGCTAGGAGGCCAATCCTTGAGGCAGGCTTTGCCACTTGCAGCACATGAAGTTGCTAATTACTGTCAATTGTTGTTTTTAGCATTGGCATTTGTTGCCAGACACTTTACCCACTGGTTGTGGTGGTCATCCACAGCCCATGGGATGTGTTGCCATTTTACTGTGTCACCACTGAGTGATTCCCTGGTTCAAAGTCTCCAGGTCACTGTTACAAATGTCTCTCTGTAGCAGAGCTTTAATCATTCAATTAGTTGTCCAGCCCTAGCTCCCTCATCATACAGAAAGACCCAAGGTATGTCTCCCATCCTGCTTGGACACGTGCCAAATGTTTGGATTGGGAAGCCAGATAGAAGTGGTGGATAAGGGTGGTAACAGAGATATCTAACACATTCAACTATCAAATTAGTCCCTTTTATTTCAGCTGGTTAAACATAAAGGCCTCAATTACATTGATCCACTTCGGTTAACCAGGAACCCCTTGTTCATCAGCACTTAAGGGAAATAAGTTGTAGAACTACAGTGAGACAGTAAACAAATATAACTGACTGGGTTTCTCTAGAGATGACATGGACGGGTGAATGGACTGCTCTTGGGCTATAATGACTCTAAATAATGGACAAAGAGTATTAGGACAAGCTACAGAAGAAATAAGGGAAGTTGTAGAAAATTTGTTTTTAAGGACTCTAGATGCCCAGACATTCTCAATTGCAATAACACTCTAACTACATCTTGCACAAATAATTTATTTACCAAGCTATTGAAAATAGACACCATGATCTGTCCAACAGACGAGCTGTGCCACACAGACTAATAGAATTTTTCAGTACAGAAGGACCCCATTTGACCCATCGTTGTCTGTACCAACTCCCAAAAGAGCTACCCAGCTAGTCCCACTCTCCAGCCACATCTCTATAGCCCTCTAAATTCATAACTTTCAAATACTCAGCTCTCTTTTGAAACTTCATATGTAATCCACTTCCACCAGTCTCCCGGAAAGCCTCATCTCACTCCTAGCTCTCTTACGGACAATCTTGAAATTGTGACTCCTAGTTACTGACACACCAGCTAGTGGAAACAAAATATCCAGAAAATCCTCATTAAAAGTTTTTGTAATTTTGAACACCTCAATAAAGTCACCTCTTAATCTTGTCTGCTCGAAGGAGAAGACGACCAATCTCTCTAATCTTTCCTTGTATCTAAAATACTTCACTCCTGGTATCATTCTAGTAAATCTCATATGGGAAACACTTGAATGTGACTAAGCTGTAAACTGACACCATCCAATTTAAAAAAAACTCCTCCCATGGGTTAAATTCCTCTACTTAGACTAAAGCAATGAATTAGACTCTTGGCTCCTGGACCTAGTTTGGGAAGTAATGCATTGGAAGTCAACAGATAAGGTATCACATGCAAACAGGAATTAGCATCAAGTAAAGCCAGTGTGCACTTCCTGACTTTCTCTCACGCGCATATCCATTCTCTACTTTCTAAAAAATTCTTAGTAGTAACTTGTTGATCTACCCAGGAGACATAGTAAAGGAACAGAAAGGTGACCTTGGCCTACTTTTTGATGCATTAAATTGTTGTGCAATAGCAGGTAGCCTGATACAGAATTACACAACTGAAGTTATACGCAACCAGTGTAACCTTTAACATACATTCCATGACAGAATCCAAGTCCATGATCATTGCTACTATGATTGAACTTTACCTGTTTTGTCAGTCTGAACTGATAAAGCAAACGCATTATGCAATTCATAGATTCACTTGATAAAATAAATAGCAATGCTATAAACCTAAACCACAAAACTCAACCTACTAGGATTAAGTTCTTTTATAATTTCATATTCCCTCATCCTGCCATTATATACAATGGACTGAGTTAACCCAGCACAATATACATAGCCATTCATAAGAGGATGCAGGCTAGAATGTCATTCATCCAAATTCACAAGTCCAACCTGAACAGTGAACCAAACACAGTTCAGAGCTATGAAAAGAGAACTCCTTATAGGGAGACTGGAGATTGAAGCTGGAGGACCACAACACCTATGAAATACACTCTTAGTTTCTTGTTCCCCAAGTGCATATGTCTATCAGACTGGGTCACTTAAATTATACGTTGAAAACTGATCATACCAACAAAACCTGGTACAGTAACTCAGAATTTATACAGCAAGACAACAGCCTACCTATATAAATAAATAGATTTCCCATGTAAAATTTTAATGATTTCAATTACATGATTAAGAAAAATGACAAGGTGCTACATAAATGCAAGTTACTTCTAACAGGACTCAGAACAGGTCTTTTGGAACATCCCGGAACATGAAAGCCAAAAGGGACAATTTAGTTTGTCAGCAAGAAGCCATTAATACATATTGGTGCCAAGGCTCCTGGGCCATATGTGGCTTAGAAACTATACAGATAGCCGGTTTCAGACTTAAATGTAAATGCATATCAATAAACCTGCTTTATAAATTTACCAATCATTACTGGACGACAAATTAATACATGCTATGACCACATGATATTGAGAATTCAACTGGACTGATGACTGATGAGACAGCTTGAAATCATCTCAGGTTGTAAGCTCATTATCAAAACTGGAAATCCACTTAGAGGGTTGAATTACTTTTGAAATTTTTTTTAGAATACTCAAGAATTTTAAAAAAATGCTGAGCACTCCTAACAGTTATTGTTTCACCAAACACTTAGAGTACTGATTTTGATCCATCTTTCCCCCTTGACTATGGATCCTCCCAAGCTGCTGATACGAAGTTGCAATATGGTTCTCTTCCTGAATAAAGGGGCTGTTCACAGTCTAATATGAAGTCATCAGATTCCATTTCATCAACTTCTGGGTAGTGGGTCACTGGCCCAGATTGATTAATGTCATGGTGACAACTCTAAAACATGGCTTATGGTGATCCTATAGTTTGATCCTGGTAAATGATAACAGTTTGGGACATGTTCGTACACTTGTCCCCGAGTTCTTCATTGGGATATTTTAGTTGCACTATCATGGGTTAGGGGCTACTATATTTGGAAAAGCAGTAGTTAGACATGTCACCAAATATACTAACATATAATTCACAATGTCACAAACAAATGACTCTGACTTGTTAGACAAACACTGTGGTACAATATAACACTGCTACACCAGTTCCCAGAATTATTTTCAGGCTAATAAAACGTACATTTGGATAGCACCCCTTGTACACAGAATCAACAGAATGGGTTTGAGGAGGAGATGGAATATTTGGCACGTGCCCTGGTTACTAGGGACTGCTGCAGGTTGAGCAATAGTTATTGTTCATTGAGCGGGGCAAGAGTTTGGGGGATAAGAAGCTTTGTGTGAAGGTGCACTCACTGACCTTGACCACCCACTTCAGGTCATTCACAAGGGAATTAGATATGCTGCTTAAAAAAACAAGAGGGGCTATGGGAAGATGGCAGGGAGGCAAATGAGGAGCAGCTGAGTTGTTCCTGTAGAGAGCCAGCACAGACACAATGGGACATATGACCTTTTTCTATGGTGTAACCATTCACTTCTATAAGAGAATTAAAAGTAGGGGAAAAAAAAACAGAAGAATCAGTGGTAGGAAGAGGAGATGATATGGTGAAGCAAAGTGTTTAAAATCTTTCTGAAACTGGGATAACAAGACAGGATTTACAGAAAGCGCTTTGGTGAACAGGTACATTGTGGCTCAACCAACTGGGGCAAAGTCAAAAGGATAATAATTGCCAGGACGATTATGCAAAGTTAAAGAGCAGTACTGATATAGGCTGGGGAACAAATCTTTTACCCTTTCAACTGCAGACTGACGTTGTTCTTGCAGGGTTAAAAGAAAATAGGGTACAGGACTTAAAAATGTTGGAAGGATTTTGTGGTTGCGAAAAAACAAAAATTGATAAGATTGACAGAATACATGGAAAAATTTGATAGTGGATTCTGCCCCTTAATATCTAAAAGTGATGGTTAATTGTTCATAGTAGAAGAACAATACTTACTGATTTAACAACAGATGGTAGACCCCATTCCGTACTGAGCAGCCTCTGACTATGTAACTTGCCTTGGTCATCAACACGTCGATCTAATACATCTACTCCTACAACACACGGATTCATGGGATTGGGGTACTTCTGCATGGCAGCTTTGAAAACCGTTTCCCAAGGGTGGCTGAAGAAAGAAATACAAAGATTCAGCAACAAAACACGGGAAAAGAAAAATTACAGACTGCAGAAGTGTATAGGTGAATTTTGCCTTTGAAAACAACGAAGTAGGATAATTCTAACAGTTTAGAAACTCCAACTCTGTTGCGAACTTACTTGTTCAAGCATTAGTGTCTCATTTGAAGACATTATCCTCTGTTCTTTAATTCCTAAATGAATCATGATTCAAAATTTAGATATTTAAAAACACAAACATTACATGTTCAGAAGATTCTACCAATTCCACTGTCCAGCATGCCAATTGCAACATTGCGTCTAGAATCTATAGTATTGTATTTCCAGAGATTAAGAGGTCAGAAAGTTTCGAATTATCAAGCCCAATAAGAAACTGTAGACCAGTACTGGACCAACACTAATTAATTACCATTCTTAAAATAAGCCTGTAACTTACTTATACAAATGTATGTCCTGAATTTACAATTTAAAACATGAAAACTAATAAGGACAGACAACAAAAGCTGTCAGAAATTTAAGGAACTATGAAAATGCTAAGAGGATATCTCAAAAAACCGAAAGAAGAAAAGAAAGGATTTTTCTATGTACATTAGCAAATACTTAAAAAGATACAGGCTGAATGAAATAAAATATAAAGTGAAGAAATGGCAGAAATACTAAACAAGTAATTTAGGAAAATTCTGAGATACCAATTACTAAGGCGTGAACATTGATAATTTTCAATAAATTTGAGTTGGGCTAAAGAGTCTATTTCCATGCTGTATGACTCTACGACTCTAGGTGGCAGAATCAACAAATGCCTCCAAGATAAATTGGGGAAAAAAAACAATGGGACCATATCCTAGCATGTTGAGGGAAGTTAGGGCCAAACAGAATCCCACAGAATAACTTCAAGTTCTTCAGAACAGAAAACTATGGCAAAGAAATGGAAGGAGGCAAATATGACACTCATCTTTAAAAGTAAAAAAAATCTTACTTCAAAATAAGATGTTGGTGTATACAGTCTGAAATAAAATTACAAACAGATCAGAGAAACAGACCAACCAGGGCCCATCTACCTGGATTTCTTAAAAGCAAACTGAGTCTGACAAAGATTCTAGAAACCCTTGTAGTAGTAAAGAAAAGCCTAGAAGATACACAGGAGAATGCAGTAAAATTGGTTTCCATAGACTTTTAAAAAAAAATGTAGGGAACTGTTTCTTGAAGGAAATAGAAACAGAGGACACTTGGATATGGTGGGTGACGTGGGGCTGCTCTTAGTAACTCCCTATATAAATGACCTGGAGTTACGAATTGCAAACTAACAAAGATCATGAAAGATAGCTAAAGGATACAGCAGGATGGGTATTTAGGTCATGAATGTAGTTCAATTTTTAAAAATGGAAATACATTCAGTAACAATCCAAAATTATTTTAAATTAATGAAGAATACATTGATTGTAAAGATTTATAATAGTTTCGAGGAACCTTAGGGTGCAAATACAAAAGCATTAAGAATTGCTACAGGTGATAGTCCGTCCCACATGTATGTCACTGAATTTATTACAAATAGATGTTATGACCTGGTAATTCATTACTGTTGGATAATACTTGGTTAGAATTTTTTTTATCAGTCGACCAACCTTTACTGCTTACTTTGTCAATTCCAACCTCACCATAAAACCTGCGGACAAGGGAGGTGCAGTTGTAGTGTGGCGCACTGACCTCTACATCGCCGAGGCCGGACGCCAACTCTCCGACACCTCCTCCTACCGCCCCCTTGATCAAGACCCCACCCCTGAGCACCAAACCATCATCTCCCAAACCATCCACAACCTCATCACCTCAGGTGACCTCCCACCCACGGCCTCCAACCTCATCGTTCCCCAACCTCGCACTGCCCGCTTCTATCTCCTTCCCAAAATCCACAAACCTGAATGCCCTGGTCGACCCATTGTCTCCGCCTGCTCCTGCCCCACCGAACTGATCTCCAACTATCT